AATTATTAAAGTAACAAATTACGAACAGAACAACAATACACAATTAGTATTACTTCAATTTCAAAAATTTACAAACTGCCAGCTTGATTTCAATGTAATTGTCAGTATCGCTAATAGCGGCCTACTAGATAAATTAGTTTCGTATTTTCGTTTTATGGCGATATCTATCTTGTTCGTAAAATAACTTTTTGCTGCGAACTGGTATATTTTGGGTAAAAAATTCAAGAAACATTTTTTGTTTAGAATGAAACAGGCTATCGGAAATAAAATTTTAAATGGTAAACAAATAATAAGACAAAAAGTTACGTTGGAACGAAATTTTAGGGGTTGGGTTTTCCACCCCATACAACCATGGGGTAAACCAAATAAATTACTGGCTAAGTATCTTTTTGGTAGTAGAAAATTGTTAAACAAATTTTATGTACCCCCTTTAAGGGGCTGTATCTTAACAAGGGATGCTCCAATGAAGTTTCTTTATATGAAAGATCCTTTTTTTTTGATGAGGAATCATTTCCTTAAATGTTTTACACTTATTTAGTTACACCCTGTATATAAAAGGAATTAATACAAAATAAACTAACTACCTCTAAAAGTTACATTAAAAAATACATTGATACCAAAACAATTAGTAAAAATTGAAAGTTATATATGAAATAGTCAAATAACTTCTTCTGTTGATTTCGATCTATATCACATATAGCCAATTCCTATTCTTGAAAAGAGTCAGTTTATGGTAATTTTACTTGAAAATAAATAGTTATAAATAAGTCGTACTACGTTTATACGTATGAAAATTGCAAGAAAATCTTACCAACAATATACTTCTGTAAGGATCTGGAAATACAAGAAATTCAAGACACCAACACAAGTGAGATCCAACTACTGAGCCTGAAAAACCCCGCTCATCAATATACATAACTCCACCGTCACAAAATTTAAATACACTAATCAATGGTACATCATCTTGCTTAAATATGAAATCTTAAAGGTCCACTGCCATAATCAAGAAGAAGTTATAAAACCTAAAGAGACCTTTATTGTCGAAATTCCAATTGATTGCCAAATTATCAGAAGTTTGAAATATACAGGGTGTCCTTTAAAATGTGTCCCAAAATTCTCAGGCAGATTCCTTAACCAAAAAATGGAAAAAAAGTTCCTATAGACCTATGTCCTAAAGTGCCCCCTAAGCGAGCAACAGCCTCTCGAAATCATTTTTTTTATTTTGATTTTTTGAATTTTCTTAAAAATGGAAACAAATAAAAGAACCAAATTTTGGCTGTTAAATATGATCAATAATAGTGACCTTTTGACACCTTCAAAAAGAAATTATTTCGTCAGGGTTGTACTTGGGAATTTTTTGAAAATTTTGATTATTCATAACTTTTTTGTGTTTTTGGTAATGACTTATCTATATTTTTTTTTACATTCTACATTGAAAACTACGTCAAAAAGGAATACTTGTTTGATCTCGATTGGAGCAGCCGTTTCCGAGAAAACATCATCCAAAGATATTCGTGCAGTTTAGGTTAATTTTCAATTTTGGCTGTTGTAGCCAAAAAGTTGGAAATCGAGGAACACGGCTTACATGTCCCTATCCTTACTTTTGAAGGTCTATTCAGTGGCAAAAAATATTAGTTGATACAGGGTGATCAAAAATCGGATGTGATTTTGGATTTTTGATCACCCTGTATCAAATAATATGTATTTTATGTCACTGAATAGACCTTAAAAAGTTAGGATAGGGACTTTAAGCCGTTTTCCTCGATTTCCAACTGTTTGGCTACAACAGCCACCTGAATTTGAAAAAATGTGATTTTTGAGTAGCTGTAGATCCTTTACTATTCATATTAGATAACAAGTGTGATATATCATTGAAATCAGATTATCGAGCAGATTCTAAAAATATAAAAATATACAGGGTGTTCCATTTAAAAAACATAACTTTGATTTGGCACGGCCTTATGAAACACCCTGTCACATCGTAACTAATTTTAAAATGTGAAGCTTAAAGCTGCCTACTTTTATTATAACAGATCTACAGAGCTTCCTCACACTAATCAATCACCCTGTATACTATTTTTAGCTCTCTAAATAAAATTTAAAAATTTAGTTCCCATTTATTTATTATGAAGACCATAAGGTTTGTATTTAGCTGTTTAGAATAAAAAAGTAAAAATATGTATTTTTTTGGCGTTTTTGTGTTTCATGGATAATTTTTTTCGCTCACTGATAAAAATGTTTCTTCAGTTAAACATTATTTCTAAAAGTGTTCTGGTGCGATTCGTTGTATTGTTATTATTTTGTTTAAAATGGCTCACAATAACTACAATAATGATTACACATTCGGCGAAATGACGGACATGCACTTATGTTTTGGACTCGCTTCTGGAAATGCCAATGAAGCTCGCAGACTTTATCAGGAGCGCTTTCCAAATAGGCATCTTCCATGCGCTAAGACGTTTTCTAGAATTGACGATAGACTTCGGGAAACTGGTACATTTAAGAAAAACTCTAGTAACAGTGGAAGACAAAATTATGTGAGAACTCCTGCTTTGGAAGAAGCAATTTTGGATAGGGTAGCTGAAACCCCATCGACAAGTACCAGAAAAATAGCAAATGGTAAGTAATTACTTATTTATTATTTTAGCTACCCCATACCTTATCGTATAAAACTAGTTTTTTTACTTGTTATTGCTTCTCTTACATTTCACGACTTTTCGTATCGAAAAGAGTTGCGTTATGCAGAAAAAATCTGATTTCCCAAATCAATGGATTCTCTTTCTTAACTATTCACTACACAGATTCTCTCATTTAATTTCAGAAGTGGGAGTCGGACGTAACACGGTATGGAAAGTTTTGCGTGAACAACAATTGTACCCTTACCACATTCAAAAAGTTCAGGCACTTAAAGCTACTGATTATGAGCCGCGAGTTATCTTTTCTGAATGGTTTCTTGGAAGATGTAATCAAGATGCAATGTTTCTTAATAAAGTGCTATTTACCGATGAAGCTGGTTTCACTAGAGATGGTATAATAAATTTTCGAAATATGCATGAATGGGCTGAAGATAACCCTCACGCGGTTGTTAAACGTCACCACCAGGATAAATTTTCAATAAACGTCTGGGCTGGAGTTATTGATAATTACCTTATTGGACCATTTGTTTTGCCGAATAGGTTAAATGGAGCAGCATACAGGCTTTTTTTGGAAAATAACTTACATGAGCTTCTTGATAATATTCCGATTCAAATCACACATAACATGTGGTTTATGCATGATGGAGCTCCACCACATTACAGCCTTGAAGCTAGACAGCACCTTAACGAAAGATTTGAGGGTAGAGTAATTGGCAGAGGTTGTCCTGTTAACTGGCCACCTCGTTCACCAGATCTAAATCCAATGGATATTTTTGTTTGGGGTTATTTAAAATCATTGGTTTATTCCAGTCCTGTTGAAACAGTTGAAGAATTGGAAGAACGAGTTTTTCATCATTGCGAAGTTCTTAGGAATAATCCTGAAGTATTTTTTCGTGTAAGACAGTCTATGATGCGACGGTTGCGCTTGTATGTGGAAACCAATGGTCGCCACATTGAGCATCTGCTTTAATTTTTTTTGATTTGTTTTTTTAGAATAAATATTTTTTTAAACCGTTTCTTATTATTAAATAAAAATAGTCCCACCACGACATTTGAACTACAATTATTTAGAGAGAGCTAAAAAAGTTATTTTTATTTACGAGATTCACCGAGGTAATTTAGGAAAATTGAAAATTAAGCTAAAGTGGACGAATATCTTTGGATGATGTTTTCTCGGAAACGGCTGCTCCAATCGAGATCAAACAAGTATTCCTTTTTGACGTAGTTTTCAATGTAGAATGTAAAAAAAAATATGGATAAGTCATTACCAAAAACACAAAAAGTTATGAATAATCAAAATTTTCAAAAAATTCCCAAGTACACCCCTGACGAAATAATTTCTTTTTGAAGGTGTCAAAAGGTCACTATTATTGATCATATTTAACAGCCAAAATTTGGTTCTTTTATTTGTTTCCATTTTTAAGAAAATTCAAAAAATCAAAATAAAAAAAATGATTTCGAGAGGCTGTTGCTCGCTTAGGGGGCACTTTAGGACATAGGTCTATAGGAACTTTTTTTCCATTTTTTGGTTAAGGAATCTGCCTGAGAATTTTGGGACACATTTTAAAGGACACCCTGTATAACTAACCAAGAAAATTGTACAAATTTAAGTCAAACTCTAATATTCCCAGCTGTAGAAACTTCTAGCGATGATAATCTGTCAAAACTGGACTTTCATCTCAAGTTAGAAGTCATAAGATCTGGAGATTTACGATTAATAAAAAATAATATCATCAAAATTTAACAGAAATCAACATATAATACAATTTCATACATACCATCCCTAGAATTCTAAGAATAGTGCTGATACCTTAGAAACTCAGTTTTGTGCAGCATCCAATTTCAATACTTGTTCGCTTATATCTCGATAATGTTAATATTTTTTGCAATTTAAAAATAAAATAAATTTTTTAAAAAACTTTCGGTATTGTGAAAAGTTATTTCGTCCATGCAGATTGCTTATAAATTGAACTTTGTACAGTCTATATATGAGGGACCTGGCTTTACCTCGAATGAAAAAGTGTAGTTGTGGTTGATATGTTAAGCATGATATAGCGCTGCTGTATGTATATTTTTTATATTATAATATATCGAGAATATACAAAATATTAGATATGCGTCGTTCACACCAATTAAATAATATATGTGACAGATATATTTTACTATTCTTTTAAAATTAAAAGAAAACTATGATATAATTTTGACAGGCTAAAAATTTAGTAGATAATAATATTAATTAATAATAATTAAATTATAAAAATAAAGCTGTTTAGTTTAAGATGGATTTTGTGACGAAAAATGACGCGTACAATCATGTGGTTTCCTTTAACAAATTGATAATGTTCTTTACAGTTGATATTAGTTTGCGGAAGAGAATTTATCGCGATTTATTTAATTTTGATTTATGCAGTACATTTTAAATATTTTTTATAATAATTGGAAACACTTATAACGTATTTGTTATTAGTATACCTATATTTGTTTTTGTATAATTTTAGTGTGATAATGTAGTTATAATGGCTTTAAACAAAGTTTTACTATTAAATGAAGTGCAGTTGTTAAAATTAATACAAGATGTAAGTAAAAATATAAATATTATACACTATTAAAAATTAAGAAATGAAAGGGAGAAATAAAAGAATGAGTCGTACTATTTTAAAGTATTAAATGAATGCCTAGATAGTTAAAAAAATTGTTAACTAATAATAATAACAACAATATACTAAGGAACAGCGCAAACTCTTTGTGGCTTTCATTGGTTTTAAAATCGCTTTTGATTTAATAAATATTGCACCAAGTACTTAGCCAAAAACTATTTCATAAATGCATCTGCAGCAGAATTATATATAGTGAAAAACAAGAATGAAAATGCATTCATTAAACCTTTATTCGTTGCAGACAAGTCAGTTTTTATCAATAAGAGCACAAAAGGTAACAAGAATGTTTTATGCATATAACCTGCAGACTCTGAAATTGATCGTAAACTTAAAATTATGGAACAATAAACTCCTTAGAGTTAGTTAAAATTAGTTCTTTTTTTATTCTATTACAGAATGGCTATGAAGACGTCGCCAATATTTTAGAAAACAGGCATATTGACGGGAAAACATTTTTAGTAAGTTTATTTTATTGAATTAACTATTATTAATATACTATAAAGTGGTATTTATCTTTTATTTAATGGATGAAATTAGACTCCCCAAAGATTAAATGCATAAATAAACAAATAATTATATACATTGATTTCAATAGATCAAATAAAATACAGTACACAAGTAAAATTAATAGTTAACTTTGATTAATATTTATATAATATTGTCGCAGATTAAAACATTGAACGTATGACATTTTGATATCGAGGAAGTTATGGGTGCGCGCTTAAACAAAGTTCCTTTAACATTAATAATTAATAAACACAAAAACTAAGACGAATGATGATTATTAAGAATAAACAAATGAAAACCGGGTATAAACAATTATGAAAACACAAGTCTCGACCTCAAGTTAATGAACTGTTAAAAGCTTAAAACAATACTGTGCTAATATTACGCAATGTCTTTTAGCTTTGCCTGCTCTTGTTTATAGCCCATCATCATGTTACACACTCCTTCTCTAGATGGCGCAATGGTCCTCCAGCGACATCTAGCAAAATACTATATTTCTCGTGGGCGACACCTTTTCTTCTTAGAAACAACAGGTTGGGGTGTAGGTGCCTCTTCTTTAGCATAGGACGGGGTAATGTCAGCTACATGGTAACGACCAAGTATTTCAGAGTTACCACGTTTGGAAAGTTCATATGAATTAGATGTGATAACTGTGGAAATAATATAAGGTCCATCTCGCTTACTCGCAAATTTATTGGTGTAGCCTTTCTTGACATTACTTAGGGTATGGCTAGAGAGTAAAATTTGTAAAATGGAAATCGTAAAAAACACCCGTCAATTTAGTCAAATAAGGAGACATGCGTGGAACAAAATTTTCTGCAGATACTATTTGACGTAAATCATTAGCGGTATCGTGAGGTGCTCTTAATTGTTTACCAAAAGTTAGATAAGCTGGAGTTTGTCTCATAGAATCACACACAGTAGAGGTAATATCAAATCTGATGTTACTAAGATAAGTGTCCCAAGTATCATGTTGACCTCGAACTAAAATGGACTTTTGAATTTTTACTTTCTACGGGGTAACTTCTCTGTATCTGTAATGTGTGGAGGGTGGGTTACCCCCACGGCACTTAGGCCCCATTAGGCCCATTGTGCATCGTCCTAAGATGATAAGCACCTCCTAGCTCGTGAGCTAGCCTACAGATTTAATGTAGTTGACGTTGCCAAGAGGTGCTTCTCTTATATCGGCCGGTGTTAGCCGATACTCGCCGAACACAAATCTTCTAATAAATGAGAGCGTCGGGCAATCGTATAGGATATGCTCGATGGTCTCATCTTCTTGTTAGCACCCTCTGCAGAGTGCGGATTCTGACAGCCCCATGATATGGAGATGCTTCCGTACTTGGCAATGACCAGTCAGAATGTATGGTTACTTGCTGGGTGATATAAAGGATTTAGAGAACTTTATATCCAAAACAATTGGCGACTTTCTGCATAACGTCACTAATAAATTGAACACGATTGTCGGAACTGAGCTTCCTATGAGTGCCATAACGAAGAAAAATCTTTTCCATAAAAGTTTTTGCACAAGCTCCACCTGTGGCATTTAGCAAAGCGAATAATTCAACCCATTTAGAAGCAATATCTTCTATAATTAAAATCTATTTATTCGCGGACGGTGTTTTCGAAAATGTCACAAACAAATAAGTCAACGGCCATAACTTCAAAACGTTGTGCAGGTGCTGGGGTTTGCAAAAGTCTTGCAAGCTTTAATTTTGTACTTTTATAGTGTTAACAGTCTAAACAATTTTTTCATATGCTTAGGAATCTATATTCGCATAGTCTAATAGAATTTTTCACAAATTTCTAATGAGTGCATTTAACTCCATAGTGGCCAGCAGTTTTAGAATCATAATATTGTTTAGGAATATATTTTCGTAAAGAAGCGGACACAACCAATTGTGGATTTTCAGCACCTGTCTCTGGATTAAAAGGATAGAGGTCTTCACTGGAAAGTTCATATCCCCGTTCTGACTATCTACTTAATTCTACTGGGTCTTCTGACACGATATATTTAATAATTTTTGCAACGTCTTCATCTGCTAATTGCTTTTCGCGAATCTCATCAGGAGTGTATCTAGGCATTTCCACAGTGACAAAACAAATTTCGCATGATTTGTCATCAGGATGTGGATAAAAAGGTGTTGATAGCATATCCGCTACGACATCCATTTTCCAGGCATATATACTATTTTCATATTAAGGCTTTGTAACCTTGAAACCCATCTTGTAAGTCGTCCTAATGGCGGTTTTAGCGTAAGAAGCCACTTTAATGGCTTATGATCTGTGGCGATAGTAACTCCATCATTTTAAAAATAGCCTCTAAATTTTTTTGCGATTTTTCCGTTGTTGAACTTTTTTTTCTGCTGTGGTTAGTAAACGAGTTGTGTATTCCACAGGTTTATCGATGCATTTCTTCCTCTGGAGTTAAACGTCTTACTTCGTCACCAAACTTAAATGTAGTGTCCTTTTTTAACAAATTAGTCAAAGGTCGTGCAATTCCCGCGAAATTAGGCACACATTTATGGTACCACGAGCAAGTTTGCACAAAACTAATAATATGTTTAATACACGTAGGATATTTGAAGTCTTGAATGGCAGCAGTCTTTTCCGGATTTGGCTCGATACCCTTTCGGGAAATAACGTGACTAAAGTAAAGCACTAAGTTTTTAACTAATAAACACTCTAGGTCTTTTAAAAACAGCTGTTAGATCTTCAATATGTTTATCGAAAGTCTCTGAGAATTAATAAATCGTTCAAATACATAGATAAATTAATATGTAAGATAAACCGTTTACATGCACGGCACTGGTAACACGTTTTAGTTCCTCAGCATACTATTTGGAGCCACTATCGCACATTACACAATTGGCTTGACAGTTAAAGGCAGGAAAAGGAAAATAAAAAGAAGAGTGTCTAGTTTTCCCGGGTTCATTCAAATGTACTTTATTATTTATTTACTTACATATTTTTGGAATTCATTACTCAAAAAAAAAACTAATATTTAAATTAACATATTGTATTTAACATAAATATTAGTTTTTTAAAGTAATAAAACTCCAAAAAATATAAATAAAGAAATATTTATGCCAAAATACTTGAACCACAGGTGTAGTTTAATCATTTAATATAAGTAAGGTGCATTTAAACGATTACATACATAACATGTACTCATTATTAAATAACAATAATTGTAAGTGAAATTAATAGTAGTCTCCTCTCATTCTTGGAAAATAGACCAATTTTCTATGCAGATGTTAGGTGTTTTCTCAGGGTATTTTCTATAAAAACAAAATAAAAGTGTACATATCTTATTGAACAATGTCTCTAATCAAAATGTTGCCAATTCTTATAAGTACAAATTAATTTTAATTAGTCTATAAACAAATATTATTTCTTAAAGTGCAATAGTTAATTTGAAAAGAGCATTTCTAGTGCACTTAAGTAAATGACAAGTGTCAAAAAGAGTTATTATTTTCTGTCCATTAAAAAAAAAATGTGCCTCTAAATTTGTTACAGTCCCACACTTTGTTCGCAGTGATTTTAAACCCATATTTTTAAGAGCCGTAATAACCTCTTTAATCAACTCAGTAAGATCTTAACTATTTATAGCATGATGTGTAAAATAATATGATACTTCTGGGCGTCTACCTAATTTTTTCCCAAGTCAACATATCCAAAAATTTTGTCATTAACTGAATCAAAAGTAAGTTTTTCGGTTAAAGCTATTTCATCGAACATTAAAATACAATTTCTGTCAATTTATGGCATTTTACTAACAATTTCTTTAAATCTGGAAAAGACAAACATTTATGCCGTTTTAAAAGGTAAATCACTTAAAATTTGTTGGATAGTAGATTTACTACGCAACGAAATGAATTTTCTTAAAAAATTATATGCTCTTGAACCAATGCTAGTTTTGGATAATTCAAAGGCCCTCTTGATTTTATTTTTGGAAACACTAAGAGCTTTCTTTAGCTTACAAATTCTAATATATTGTTCTCTATTAATAAAATAAAGCTTTCTTTCTTTAGGAGTTAAATTTTTGACTCTACTTTCATTTATTTGTTGCAAACCAGTTTTTTCCGTTTTGAGGGTTGTCAAATTGTTTATCACTAATACTAAATTTACGTTTGCAACTCATCTCTTGATTGTCGTTGTGGATTAGCAAATCTATCTTATGCTGCTGTGTATGTGCTTCAGCCTCAACATGTTCTAAAATATGACTCTCTGGTTGAATATTGTTCGGTATAGTAGAACTGGGTGTACTATTATCTAATAAAATTGGTACAATTAGTCGTTTACGTTTGATCTTCACAAAGATAGGGAGTTTTATTATCAAAAGTTAAATTTAAATTCTTAAACCAGTTCTTTCGAATTTTAACATCAGAAGGAACATGAAAAAAGATTTTATTTGAATAACCAGCTTGCTGAATATTAATATACTTATTTAAACAATAAGGAGCTGAACAAGAATACTTAGCTTCACCCTTTGATGCTTTACCAGGGTCAGACATCTTTTGATATTGTTACAAATATATTAAAAAAAGAATTGAAAATAGATTCAAAATTAAATTACCTATATTTCGTGTTAAGGCTAAGAAAACAATGATAAACGAAGTCCTTAAACAAATCTAACACCTAATATTAAATTAAATTGTTAATTCTTACTAATTACATCAAATCATCACTTATAAATCTTCTTAACCTAAAAATAACTTACCTACCTATGGGAACTTACATTACAGAATATAATAGTGGTTATTCTGTGCTTGCCCATTTCGCCTTCCGCCTACCATTCCGTTTTTCATTTTTACAAGGTTGTCAAACCTATCTTTAAAATATCCCAACAATAGTATGTAATAGTATGCCATTGTATGGATGGTATCGAGCCTGACAAAAAAACAACAATGTGTTTAAAATAATTCTAATCTCATGAAAGTTTATGGAA